CATTATTATTTTTAATTGGTCATAAAATAAGCACTCTTTTGTGTCCCTGCATTGGCTGGCTTAGTCTCTGTACTCGCTTTTAGGTCTCCCTAATCTCTACAGGCTAACTGAGGCACGGACCCATCCCTTCCTCACAAAATCAGGGAATTGTAAACTTAGGGCCAGTTTTAGACCTTCTGGAGATCACAGAGTGCTTCCTCACCCCTTCCCAGCTCACGGATTCATGGGGATCCACATATCACTGCTCTGAAGAGAGGAAAAGGATGAAAGCCCCCTGCTTGGGGTTCTGCTAACAGCTGGATCTGCTTCCTGCAGTAGGATTTTGTAATTGGATTAATTAATTGGAATGTTTCCAAAACAAAAATGTGTATTTCTCTGCTCTTAACCATCCTCAAGGGGAAAAATGAAAACACTGATGGCGTCTGGAGCATTGCTATTTCACTCTAAAATTAAACAGTGCTCCTCCCACCCAGGCATCCCAATTCCATGTGTTATCCATGGGAAAGACCCCAAAAGTCTTTGTGGTGGGAGCTTTCAACCTCACTTTGCTATTTTAGAAAGGGCTATACTGGGAGGGATGGACTGGCAGTACTGACACTGCCTGTGGATTCAGTGGTTCAGTTTAACCTCAAAAGTTTTGAAAAACAAAAGAAAGCTGCAGTTTCTAAAGTCCCTCTGGGTATTATGTGTGTGAACAACCATATTTAATTATGTATGTGAACAACCATATTTCAAGTTGGACTCAATGATCTTGGAGATCTGTGTTTGATTCTCTGTTTCTGTGAAGCTGAGGGTTTAATGTCAGAGCAGGGCTTAGGGTCAGCCTGCTTTGGGGTGGTGTGTCTGGTGCTTTTCTTATTGTCAGCCTAATTTTGTAGTGGAATTTGTAGGATGGGGGTGGGGGGAGGAATATCCAAAGGAACTGACAGATGGTTCATGTTTTAGCTGAGACTCCAAAATGCACGTGGAGGGCTTCCTCAGCACTTTATCTCTGGGGAAATTGTAATAAGTGGTGTACCTTGGCATTAACTGCACCAATTTTGTTGCAGGGTATGAAGAAGAGCGAGGGCTGTGCCGTGATTCCGTTATGGATGTGAGCACTGGTCCTCCCGGGCTGTATTCCCAGAGCAGCTGTGATGGATTCCAGTGACCTTGGGCCAGTCAGCAGAAGCCTGGTTCTACTCTGAAGAGTGAGTGTGTAAAAATGGCATTTCCTACTCAGCAGATCTGGGCTCTGCGTGCTCTCCAAGTCACATCTGCTGACTTTGGTGACAAAAATAAGTTCTTATGGCTTTCCTGCTCTGTGAGCACTTCAGAAACACAAGAGGTGGGAAGCAGAAGCTGGATCCTGTGCCTCCTTGTAGGATTGATTACTGTAAATCCCAGCCAGCAGTGGGGCTGCACTGGCACCACTTGGCCTTGCCCAGCTTTCCTGTCACTGCTAGCAGCGACATGCATGGAAGAAAGGAATCCAAGCTGATTCTCCTGATTGAGTTTTAATTGCAGTTGACATTTCTCAGGTTTGCAGTTGGAGGAAGAAGAAATCTGTTCATCCATAACATGGTTACATTCAAAATAATTCATTGGTCACAATCTTTTCCAAAGTGGAGTTGTTTTAAGCAAACTCCCCTCTCTCTGGCAGGGTTCTCATTTTCCCTGAATTACTCATGGCTACTCCACTCCAGTGTCTGCTGTTTAGTAGGAAGAGAGGGCTCCCTTAAAACAGATGCTATCAGCTGGTGTAAAGGTGAGTCTTGTGATGGAGATGTGCACTGATTTGTGTGCTGGATGTCCCCAATATTCAATTTGGGAAAGTCATTCAGCAGCAAAATTAACGGCAACTATTTTAAAATTGCCTTTACCTTCTGTGGCATGTCCTGACATACTTAGGAGAGCTGATACATCTCCTCACAGGTGCCAGGAGTAGCAGCATAAGGTGCAGCATTCTGCTGTCAGGACAATGATTTTTTAGTTCATTTTATACAGGCAAAATCTATCTTCATATAAATTTTTATGTGACCTAGTCTCTTAATTAGGACGTGCTGTTGGTACTTTTTGGGTTCTGCAATAAAGCTGTGACAGGAATATCACCTGTGAAAGAAATCTGATGTATCATTACTTAGTATAACAGAGCCAGCTTCTATAATAATACACAGATTTCATAAGAGGCTCTTACAAAAATTAGGTATTGTTATTTTACAGAAGAAGTGGAGGCTGAGAGCAGTGAAATTCAGTTTTGAAAGTCCTCTAAAAAGGCAGAGTTGGGAATGGGATGAGTCCCACTCTTTCCCAGCTACGCTACCTGCATGGAAGAAATGAGCCTGCTTACATCCAAATTTAGCCTCTGACTTCACCTCAGGTGAGAAGTTCTGAAGGACAAGACCAACAGAGGATTGTACTGAAATGTCTCAACCCACAGCAATGGTGAGAGGGGAGAGGAATGGATGTTTCTTAACTTGCTGTAGAAGTGGGGCCTGTTTGGCTTGGTTACATGTATGCTCCATGGCATACTGGTCTGAGTTAAAAATCAGCATTTCCAACTAACAAACCATAGAAAGGAATAACAAAAGAGTGCTCTCTGATGATTTCTGATTTCTGCCTCTTTCATCATGCCTCTTTCTTTCAGTCTGCAGATATTTTTGTTGATAACACAGAAGCCTCTGATTTTGGCAGGTTATGCGGGGAAGAGAAACTTGCAGCGTACAGGGAATGTGCAATTTTAGGCAGGGAAAAAAACCACAGATAACCAGCTATTTTGGTTCCAGTGCTTAGAAGTGAAATATTTAACCTTGAGAGGACACAGTGCCAGTCTGGGTTAGGAGTCGATGGCAAGGGGGAAGTGAAAACCTCTCCAGCCTATTAAGTGCCCTGCATCCTTGGAGAACACTAAATCATCCCTTACACATGCTTTACATTTTAAATAACTTTCCCAATAATTGTAAAGGTTAGATAGAAATAGGACTGAAAACAGTCATGGAATCACAGAATTATTTGTGTTGGAAGAAACCTTAAAAATCATCTCATTCCAACCCCCTGCCATGGGCAGGGACAACTTCCACTGGAAGATCCCTTGTTCTGAATCCCAGGTCAGCTCTTAGGGGGGAATTGTGCAGCTGCTGAAGCCCAGCCCCTGGACTGGTCCCTGTTTTCCTGCTCCTTTCCCCACACACAAATGACTGAACAGCTTGGGAATCAATCCCAGAGCCACCACAAGGTGCAGTGCTGCTCCTGAGAATTGATTTTGGTCTCCTGGAAAATCTGGCTGCCCCATTAACTTGGGAGGTGGCACCTCCTGCATGGCTGAGCCACCCCCTCCTCTCAGCTAGAGCCCTTGGCCAAAATGAATTGGCCAGGACAGAAGTTGAACCTGTGAAGAGTTTTGAGTCCCTAATCCAGGAGTTAATGGTGTTTAAAACCCATGAAAAATGCAGCTCTTACCTCTTCCTTCCCTCCCACCCCACCTCCCCTAGAGGAGAGAGGAAAACTCCTTTCTTTTCACATATTTCTGTTTTATTTATGAAGATGCCACAGCACTAGAAATATTGATTAATGAATAATTTCCCCGGATTTTACAGTTCAGAGAGGCAAAGCCAAAAGGGACTTTCTCCATCGTTTTGTGTGACTATTTCCTCCCCCAAGCCTAACTCTGAAGATTTTTCTGATGCCTTTTGTCACTGGCTGTCTTTATTGCTGATACAGGCACGTTGACACTTTATTTTCAACTCATGCAGGGGTTAGCAATATTTCCCTGAAAACAACTGTGCTAACTCGCAACAAATCTGTCTATTGAAAGTTTTAATGTGGGACGCACAGTGCTACAACCAAATGAATTGGGTTGGATCCAGTTTGGTTGGAATCCAGCAGAAAACACACTGTTTCTCTAAAATTAAACAAGTAAAACTTTGGGCTGTGTTTAGAGACACAAAGACACTAATATAAATGTTATTACCAGGAGCACAGTGAACAGAAAAAATAATGAACCGTTTGTTGATAAGGAATACCTCATTTTCTTCCACCAGTTCTGTTGTTTATTTAAAGAACTGAACGACCTGTGACAGCAGGTTACATCTCCCTTTGTGCAGAAAAAAAGTTTATTTTGTAGTTTGTTATCTTAACTAGAAGACTCACTGATTAGCTTCATGTGGCAGAGCATGGTCATCAAGAAGTCAAGATTTTAACTCACCTCTCCCACACCTTCGCTCTAGTCCTTCCTAGCAATCCCAACCCCCAAAATCCCCCCACTCCAGTCATTGCTTCTGTGAGATATCATTATTTTTGGTCTTTCCTCACCTGTCCCTGCCCAGCTGAAACACCTTGCACCTGCTGCAGCCCCACTCTGAATGAGTGGGAGTATAAAACCCTCTGTGTGCAGCAGGGACCCCGTGCTGCCCCTGGCACTGGGCTTGGGAGGAGCAAGAGGAAGCTGAACCCCTCTCATCTTTGGGATTTGGAGTCAAGGTATGGGTTTCTGACTTGCTCTTTGGCAAAGTGAATTGATGCGTGAGCCAGGACCTGATGGTCTAAAGGATTTCTTGTCTTGTTAGTTATGTGGGTTTTCTTGGAAAAAATATTGGAGGAAAGCACAAGTGAAGCTGTTTATCTTTCGCTGTACTGGCCAAATAGGTGCTTAAAACAACACATCAAAAAAGGAGAATTGAGTAAAGCTCTTCTAATTCGGATGTTGTTATTTAAGAAGTTGTTCTCCTTTGCAGAGGGTGTATTAGGGGAAGGTGACCTCTGCAGCTGAAAACACTGGAGGACAGTCTGTAATAGCCGGAAAACTACTGAAGGGTGCCTCAGGCCTTGTTTTCACAGCTCCTCGTAAGCAAAGAGCGGCACTGATCGCCTCGGGCCAGGCGCTGAGGCAGAGTCGTGCCCGGGAGCCGAGCGCTTGGATGCTCCAACTTCCCTTTGGAGAAGCAGCGACCGCCCAAAGCGGCTGCGGGCGGCCCCTCCCGGGGGAATGCGGGGGTCGGGGAGCACCAACCCCACCGGAGGCAGGCGGGGAGCGGCGGTCGGGCGGAGCGGAGCGGGCCGGCCCCCGACCCCGCCCGCCGGTGGGCGGCCCGCTCCGTGCGGCCGCGGGGCTGGGGCAGCGCGGCACCGGGCGGCGGCGGCGGCAGCCAGGTGAGGCCGGGACACATATACACACACACACACAGAGCCGGCATCACACCCCCGTGCCGCCTTTACCGCGGGGTTACGCGTTTTGGGTCGCTTTGTGGCTTTTCCCCACCATGCTCGGCTGCCCGCGGGGCAGCGCATCCTCGGCGCGGCTCTTTGTTCGCGGAGAGCGGCTTGGCTGGTCCCTGCAGCCCCGGGGGATGGCGATGGGGAAGGGGCAGCGCGGGGTGACGTCCTGCCGGGATGGGGGTCCCTCCAGAAGTGTTTTGGGGGGTGGGTGTGTGTTTCTGGTGGGGGTGACCGCCGCTGTCCCACTGTCCTGCTGCGGGCCTGGGTAGGAGGAATGCCCGTGCGGCTGTTTGCACTTGATCCCCCTCCCGGTTGCAATTCTGGGGTGTAAAGTCACCTGTAAATATGACTAAGGAGGACGGGGAGATGGACCTGTGCCCGGCAAGCAGGCGGGCTGGGTGGAATCAAGCCTTGAGCCAGCGCTAATCCCCTTCTCTGGACCCCACGCAGGCTCTGCCCAAACCAAAAGCGCCCGGCAAGGTGCGTTTAATCTGCTTTTAAACCTTCACCCGCAGGGACTCGGGCTCCTGCAGCTCTCCTGTGTGCTGTTTCTTCAGCGTCAGGTGAGGCGCTGAAATTGTGGAGCGTTTCTGGCTGATTGGAATCCGAGTGCTGTCTGTCCCTCTGCTCCCAGGCAGGCTGGGCAGCGGCGTTTCTGTCCTTCTGCTGCTTGGAAACTGCTGCACCCTTTGGCCTCATTCTTCAACACCCCCTCCTCCCTGTCTTAATCCCTCAGGAATTCGGTAGACCTTCGACTTTTGTGGTGCCGGGGACCTGGCACGGGTCAGAAGCCACGGAGAACTGCGCAGCTTTTACTGGCAAATCCAAGTAGGGATTTCCATAGGTGGTCCGTGTGCAGTTCCCAACCAAGCAAATGATCGCTTGATGGTTGGGGGGATAATGCCTCAAACATGTCATGTCCCTGGCTCCTCAAAGAACTCAGGCTGGAATGCCGAGGCTGGAAGTGGAGGTGATGTATTATGTATTAAGGTGCCTCGCTGGGACTGGTGGGGAGCTGGCCATACAGAATATTAATATCGCGTTTGTTTGCTTTTAAGGATGCATCCTCAAGGGTAGGTGAGGATGTGCCCCTCTGGTGTGTGATTGTCTCGACGTAATTTTTCTCACCTGACTTTGTGTTGGTGGCTGGCGTAGAGTCGTGTCACTGCTGGGATGTCACTGGGCTGCTGGAGGTGGTCGGACTGATCGAGGTCTGTTTACCTGAAGTGTGTGCTGGAGGGGCAGCATTTGAATTGGCAGATCCCCAATTCACTCGGTTGAGCTGGGCAAGGACATAAAGCAAGACGAGATGAAGGCATTTTTCTCGGCTTGTGCACAAAAGTAGGAGTTGGAGCTCTGCAGTGTATTATCTGCTGCCTTTTGTATTCAGCACAAGTAATGAGGCTTGGATGGCATACATTAGCACCCTTTAACAGAGCACTTGAGGGCTGGCAGTTGTTTGACTTGTATGTTTTGGCTAAATCTTCACATTAAAAGATTTGCTGCTTTTTTGTCCGGTTCCCTTACGAATTGTCCCTGAATTTCGGAGCTGAGCACGCCCCGGGCTGTTCAGGCTTGTGCTTGGAGGTGTGAGAAGCTCTTTTCAAAGGCGAGACAGATTTGGCCGGGGCTGACCTGTTCTCTCTGCTTTGTGATGCATGCAGCCGCTTCAGCTTTTGAGTGTCCTCCCTTGTGTCGGAGGGATTGTTAGAGCAGAGTTATTAATTCAAGGGAGTTTAAAACTTAGTGCTTGTTTTTCCACGCTGTTTCGACAATTTGGGTAGAAACATAGCCATAACTTGTCAAAGGCAGAAAATAACAATTTTTTTTTTTTTGAGGGGGTGGGGAGGAAGGGAGTTGTTTTCTCTAAATAAGCTGGCTGGGTGAAGCTCTTAAAAAGCTCTGAGAGGGAGTAGCTGCACACAGCTGGGGCAGAGGGGGAGCTTAATCCTTTGCAGCATGTCTCCACAAACCACTGGTCCATGCAAGCAGCAGCTATTGAAGGAGAGACATCTGCTCTGCTCTGTGCTGGTTCCCTGCAAACCTGCCCTGCTGGAGTGACCATAACAGGCTGGGGCTCCTTCTGAGCTGGCTTTTGTTGGGCCCCCCAAGAGCTGATCTCAAAGAAGTCTCCAGAATTCAGAGGGGTTAATGGTTTAATAACTACTGCCAGTGCTAATTGTATGGAGCAGGCAAGCAGCCTGGCTCAGAAAGATCCAACTGAGTCTGAGACTGCCTCAGCTGGTGACCAATTTATATTTATTGTCCCTCAGCTTCCTGACTTCCCCACCGAGGTAGATGGTTCTTATTCTTGTGGGCAGCTCCTGGAGCTGTCCAGTTTTGGCCTGTTTTCAGCCTAGCAATCCTTTGTGTGTTTTTTTTTTTTCCCAGCCTACCAGGTGTTAAAAGAAAAGTTATTATTTTCCATGCTGGAGATAAAGCTCCCTGGCTGCCTGCAGTTGTGCTGCCTTTGCGGCTGGAGGAACTGCATCTCCTGGGATTTGCTGTTATTGAGTGCAGGGGAAGTAGCTGGCACTGCCTCTTGCCCTCAGTGTGTGCTTCCTATTGGAAGCAAGGATTAGTTTTCCACTGAGAGCTTGGCCAGTGCTTGGCAGCTGCCTCCAGGGCTTCAGCTCTGAGGATGCCAGGTGAAATCTGGGGACGAGGAGTTCCTGCAGTATGAAATATTGAGTTATTACCTTCAAGCTGGTCACAGGAGAGCTCAGGCTTACTACAGAGGAGGTGCTTGGTCAGGGCAGTGTGCTCCAGCCTGGCTGGGGCTGGAGAGCAGGCTGGCTATAAAAATAGCCAGATGGAAGGATAAATGTGGTTTGGAGCAGCTTGAGGAGCAGCCTGCTCTGCAGCCAAGTACCTGCAGCTTCTGCATTCGGTGGAAGTGCTTCAGCAAGGTGTCAAACTCTGCTTAAGGGGATGGCCAGGTCACTGCTGTTCATACACTCTCTAATCCAGCCTCTTCCCAAAGCTAAGTAGATCTTAAGCCCTGACTAATCTTCTTTGAAGTGTGAACCTGTGCCATTATCCTGCAGCAAGCTCTGTGCCACTATCTCCTGCTTTCACTGAGTGTGAAGGTCTGGGTTAGCTTACATCTGCCTGTTGTGGATTTCCTGAGCAAATAACTCTCCAATATGATTTTTGCCCTATAGAAATGTAGGATTATGACAAGCAGGGCTTTTCAGACTGGTAGAAACAATATGCAGGGCCCCAGGAGCTTTTTTATCAGGTATTGAGTGCCTATGTTATCTACCACCCAGAAGGAGGAAAGGGTCTAGTAAATATGTGGTAAGCTTGCTGGGAGGAGATGAGCATTTTGGTTCTTCTGCTGACCACCTCCTGAATATTGTGGGCTATTTGAGAGCCTATAGCTAGAAAGCTACAAAATATCTGTACAGATGTGTATATACATATGTAGAATGTATTGAACTGCAAGAGAAGTACTTTCCAAGTGCAGCTGGAGTTCTGTTTATATTTAAGCACTGCTGAAAGCATTTGTGCCACCTAAATGCTCCTGGCTTCTTGAGAGGCTGTATTTAAAGCCAAACTATCTTTTAAGTAGAGAAAACCCAACTTCTTGATGTTTCAATATGCTTGCTCTTAACAGGCACTTGCTAAAGGGGTGTTGAGATGAACATGATTTATATTCCTCTGCATGGTGAGGCAGATGCATGTAGTTAGGCACTAACAATTTAACTTGCATAATATATTAATGCTTTTTAATTACAAAAGTGCATAAAGAATTAGCCTGGGAAAAGAGCTAAATATTGTCAGTTTTCAGCTATTTTTTTAGGGAGGGGATAGAGAAAATAGATGCATGGCCACCCATCCTTCAGAGATAGAAGATGCTAAAAATAAATTGGAAGGTGTCTAGGCTGGTGAAGAGCTTTTTGGTGGCTTCTGCTTGTCCCTGAGCATCTGGTGCATGTGTGTGGCCTGTGATGGGGAATTATTCCAGCAGCTCAAACTGCTGGGATGAGGCTTCAGGGAGAATGGAAAAAGTGACTCAGTGTGCCCTGAAGGCTCAGCCAGATGCTGGAGCCTGCAGTGGTTAATTCTGAGCTGTGTCCCTGCACTCTCTGGGTACAAATGTGAATAATACTCGTGGATGTGCTGTTTGGGTGGGGAAATGAGGAGTGTGGCAGGTTCAGGGATTTATCCTGGTGCCCATGGACAGGGAGACTGCACAGGGTGACCATTGCTGTTCTTTGGAAGACTGAGGGGTGGTTCTGACAGCCCCAGCCTCTTTCCTTACTGATATTTGTTATTCCTCCAGTGCAAAGGGAAGAGCAGTTCACTTGGGAATGATAAAATCTCACCTTGTTCCACCCCCTGCTATGGGCAGGGACACCTCCCACTATCCCAGGCTGCTCCAAGTCCCATCCGGCCTGGCCTTGGACACTTCCAGGGGCAGCCACAGCTTCTGTGGGTAACCTGTGCCAGGGCCTTACCACCCTCAGTCAATAATTTATTCCTAACATCTAATCTAAACATACTTTTTGTCAGGTGAAAGCCTGAAAGCCACTGCTCTGTCACTCCATGCCCTTGTCCAAAGTCCCCCTCCAGCTCTCTTGGAGCTACTTTAGGCACTGGAAGGTGCTCCAGTGTCCCTGGAGCCTTCACTTCTCCACCTTCCATCTCTCTCAGCCTGTGTCCATAGCAGAGGTGCTCCAGCCCTGTGATCTACTTGGTGGCTTTTCTTTGGCCTTATCCCAACAGGCCAAGCTCTTTCCCCTGTTGGGAATCTCAGAAATGGAGGAACACGTGAGAGAACTTGGAGCTGCTGATGGCTGGAGGCCCTTGGGGCAGAGTCTGCCTCCTGGAGCAGCACCCCAGACCTGCTGTGACAGGGATGTTTGTTGTGTGTGTGGCACTGGTGTGACCACAGAGTGGGGCCTTGGTGGGGATGCTCTTCTGCTCTGGAGTGGTGTGGGAATCCAGGGCTTCCCTCTGTCTGCCCTGGCAGGTCTGGGACCCTGTCAGGGGTCAGGAACCCCCCTGTACAGAGCCCCCAGAGACACTGTCTGTGATCTCTGTCCATGGAAAAGAGTTTTCAATCTCACAGGATGAATTACAAGCTCTGAGTGTTTGATATAAGTAATAATTAAGTGTGGCACGGGTGCAAAAGTAAAATTTTAGGATTCTAGATCAGGGGTCCAAAGGGGACAAGATGGAGGAAATTGGGTGTGTCTTGTCCTTTTTCTCCTTCTTCATGCCCTCCATGTTTCACTGTGGTGTTGGCATTTTTCTGTTGGTTCAGGCTGGGGACACACTGTCCAACGTAGGTGACAGATATTGGCACGTTATTGTAAATCCAGCACAGGTAGTTTGTGGTATTTAATGTTTGTACCATCCCACTGAGGGCAGAGCCCCACACGCTGCCCTGCAGGACAGAGCTGCGGCAGGGCAGCAGAACATGTTAGAGATAAACAGAATAAACAACCTTGAAACCAGCACAGACCAATTATGGCTTCTTCTTTGGCAATGGGGCAGAAAGACAGAGACTTTCTACAATCTCAGAATCATCAATACCCACAGATTTAGACAGAGTGGTGGAGTGGCAAGCCCAGGACTGGGGCACATGCCCAAGGGAGCTGGAGCTGTGTGCCTGGAGGCAGCAGAGCTTGCCAAGGGCAGGCTGTCAGCTGGCTGCATCGCTGCTGGCCCACAGGTTCCGTGCTCTCTTGGAGCTCCCAGCTTGCAGGGTGATCCTGGACATGAAACTCTCTGGAAGTGCCTCCGTGGTGCAGTGCAGCACGGGCACTGAGCTAATGCAGCAGTGCTGCAGCTTCCTCTGTGGGGCCAAGGACCTCAGCCAGGACATGATGCAGCCCTAAAGCCTCTTGGTGTGGCTCTGGTGCTCTGCTGTCCCCCACAGACCCCTCTTGTTCTTCCTTGGGCTCCTCCTGTGCCAATGCACACAACAGGGCTGGCCAGAACAAACCTGAGACTTCATGGCCCTGGCAAGGATAATTTTTAGACTTGGCTCAGGACAAACAGGTTGATCCACACCATTGCTTGCAGGTTTGATACCTGCTGGGTAGAGCATAGCACTTTGCTGCTGGGATGAGAGCTGGGCAAGGTCTGTCCTGGGCTTCAGATCAACATTTGGTTTTTGTCTGGCATCTTCAGGTAGTGTAGGCTGAGAAGAGTAAAACAGATGGGGGAATTCATTGCTTGGAATATGTGGGGGGGGTCTGCTCACAACTGGCCACAGACTTGGTCTCCCATTATTTATTTAAGGCCCTGGGTCTGTGGTTGGTTATGGGTATGTGTAATCTTGATTCCTTTTTTTCCCTTCCAGGTCTCTGGATTTGTCAGCCTTGCAGGCTTCTGGGCACATCTCCTCCCAGCCATGAGGAGATCAAAAGGATTTAATATCTGTGTGGTCACCTGCAGCATCCTGCTCTTGTCCTCCAGCCTGCCATGCCTTGCTCAGCCTCTGGAAGAGGGGGATGTGACAAAGGTCCAGCGTGGCCCCTGGGCAGGGAATGGGCTGGAAGATGAAAGGACAGCCATGGTGGACTTGAAAAACAATGTGAGCCCTTCTGAGCAGACAGTTTCTGCAGAGCCATGTGCAGTGTCAGCACAGCCATCTGGGACACCCTTGGATGAAGCTTTCACTGCAGAAGAAGTGCTCCCTGCCAGCCCGAGCAGTGTGGTGCCCAGCAGCCAGGGGCATGAGGGGGAGCTGGCTCCCACTGAGCACCAGGAGGAGGAGGATGAAGCACTCGGGGCCATGCTGACCACAGCTGTGACCACGCTGAGCCCTCCAGTCCAGGAGGAGTCTGGTGGCCCTGTTGGTGTGGCCACAACAGAGAGTGGTGTGGCAGTGGAGCCCAGCTCTGCTGGCCCCTCAGCAAACCCCGTTTCTGGGACCACTGAGGAGGAGGAGGAGGAAGCAGAGAGCAGCTCACAGCCCTCAGCTGTGCCCCAGCCCACGCTGAAGCCCAGCTCTCCCAGCTGGGAAGCAGCAAGTGACCACCCTGTAGTCCCAAGTCCCCAGGCTGCAGGTGTGACCTCTGGGCTGGAAATGCTGAGAGCCCGCACAGGGAGCCCTCTGAAATCCCTGGCTCCACCGACATCTGTGGCTGCTAAACATCCCCTTGTGGCAACTGAGGCCTTCCTAAATCCACAAGCAGGGACAGGTGTCACAAAACAGGAGCTGCCCACTACGGCTGGCACTGTCACCATCCCTGCTATGGACACTGTGCCACCTGACTGGGATGACACAAAACTGGGGGGAAGCATGTCTCATGAGGAGCTGGGGATGACAGAACCATCCCAGACCACTCAGGAAGGTGTGGGGGAGGAAGAGGATGCCACAAGAGCAGTGCCCTCCCCAGTGTCCCCTCCACCAGCGCCTGAGCTTGCCAAGGAGAGCAACTGCACAGTGCCAGTGCGAGGGGAGGAGCTGCCAGCAACTTCCCCAGGCAGCAGTGCTGCTTTCCTCACTGGGAACCTGTCAGATGCAGGCACAGCTGATCTTGGCTCGCTGGAAAACATAAGTGCAGTCACAGCAGTGGAGGAGAAAAGTGTCCCTCCGTCACAGCCGGAGGCTGCTGTGGTGACAGATACCCAGCCTGAGCTCTCTCCTACTCTGGAGAGTTCATGGAAAGGTAAAACTTGCCTTTTACAGTCATTTGCCTCTCATTTCTGAGGTTTGAAGTGAGCTGTGCCAGCAGCCTGTGAGCCACTGATGTCTTAAATGCCTTTTTTCAAGGGTTCTCAGGCATAGAGGTCTGTGCAGAGAGCTGCTGGTGCTTCTGACAGAAACTCCTGGTGTGGTCTCCTCACCCCATGGTGAAGCTGTGCTTGTCCCAGCTCTTACCTGCAGGCAGAATTCCTCCTGGACAGCCTGCCACAGGCTGATGGTGTCACCTTGCCCTGCACATCCCTCCAGAGATGGCACCTTCAGCCTCATGACAGTAGTCCTGCTTGGTGTTTCAAATGTAAAAGGAACACTAAAAACCAGAAGGCTGGTCAGGTGTTGGGCAGTGACATGCTTCTAGATTGATGAGGACTTTTTAATTGCTGGGTATCTTCATTCTTCCCTCTTTGGCTGCAGATGCAAAGGGATGATTTCCCTTCACTGAATCCAAAAGACCTAATTTTTGCTGTAAAAGAAAAGCAGCTAATTGCAGGCTGGTGCTGCAACCTGACTGATTAATTTCTAGATTAATTTCAAAGCACTTGACTTGTCAGCAGGCTGCCTCTCTGCTGTTTCCCAGATGTTGGGGAAACAACACTGTGCAACAAAAAATAACCCCTTTTTGCATAGCTGAGGCTTCAGTGGGAGCTGGACATGGAGGCTGGACCTGCTGCTGGCTCTGGAGTTGTTAAAACTTGGAGTCCTGCTCCTTTTGTACTGCTTCAGAGGTGTGCTCTGTGCTGTCCTGTGAGCCTGCCCTGACTCTGTTCTTGCTCTAGGTGCCACTGAGGAGGTGACAACAGCTGCCCAGGAGGGTGATGCTGCTCTGTCTGCTGTGACAGAGGTTTCTGGTGCCACCCAGGGCACAGGGGCTGCCAGCTTTCCTCAGGAGAACAGCGGGGAGGACACCCAGATGCTGACAGCTCCCAGTGCCACCGAGGTGCTGCTCACAACTGGTGCTGCCTCCACGGGGAGCCCTGTGGATGCAGGAGGTAGGATTCTGCTTCAAGGACTCCCACACAACATGGGATGGTACATCTGAAACCAGTGTCACACTCCAGTCTCGATTCAACATCCAAATTTAATTGACTTTTTTTTTTTGGTAACCTTCTGTCCTCTGCCTCTAAACCTGGGCTGCTACTGCTTTCTGCTCATGCCATGAGATCCACCACTTTGGAATCTGCCAGCATATGGAATCTTTTCTGCCCCAGATAAGTGGAGTAGAGGCTAAAAAAAATGCCCCAAACCAAACAAGCCCCCTACCTGTGCTTGCTAGCAAACTGCCTTTAGCTTTAGACACTTAAACAATTTTTGATTTATAGTGGGAGAGTTCTTAGTTCTGGAACCCAGGGGAGTCACAGATTGCTGGTGCTCAGTCCAGAGGATGAAAATGTTTCATCAGGGTTCCATGGGAGCCAGTGGTGGGGGAAAGACATCCTCCTGCAGGAGCCTGGCAAACCCTTGTGTGTGGAAACCTGAAGTGATCATCACCTGCACTGAGGAATGGTGGGCTGTCCTCAGGCTGGTGTAGCTCGTGCAGAAATGCTTTGAGCAGTCATGTTGAGGTAGCTGCTGCTGTGGTGTCACCTTGGCATGTCCATGTTGGAGCCTGTCTTCCTGACAGGAGTGCAGCAAGGGCTCCCTCAGCACGAGGCTGACGTGGAGCTGGAGTTTGTTTCTGTAGTAGTGGGGGGACCACTGTAATGAAAATGCTGCTGGGCAGCTTTTCTGGCAATTTTTGTGTTGCAGAGCATTAAAAAAAAGCTGTTTGCATTGTATCTTTAAATTTAGGCTCTGTTTGTAAGGGGCAGAAGGTTCTTCTGGCAGTTTCCACTAATTGAATTTGCTTCTGGGTTTTAATTATAAATGCAACCAACTTTGTATGAACTGTTAGATCTGTCACTTGCCTCAGTTCTTAACTGGTGGCTTGGTGCTCTGATCTTGCAAGGGTGTGGTGATGAGTAGTCCTTAAAGCAGTGGAATTAAAACCTTTAAGGGTTCCCCCCTCATTAAGGGGAACCTCCTTTGCTGGCTGCCCTGGAGGAGAAAGTTTCATTACAGCAGAGTCACATCTCACAGGGAGATAAAGTTTAGTAACTTCCTTTGAGCTAAATTTCCATTAAGGAGTTTCTTGGGCTTTTATAAAACTTGTTAGGCTGAATGGTTGCTGTTTGCTGTCTCCTGTAGATCTCACAGATGGGATCCTGCTCACCAGTGAGAAAGCTGCTCCAGCCCTTGGTGGGATGTCTTCTACCCCAGCTGGGCAGACAGAGGAGCCAGCCAGCAGAACTGTGGTCCTGGTGACTCCAGCCTCAGTGGCCTCCTCTGCCAGAACTGCTGTTCCCCCTGCCAGGAGGACCAGCACAGCTGTGACCTACGGGCTGGACCGCCTGGAGTCTGAAGGTACTCCTGGGCCCCAAGGGCAGGGGGCCTCCTGTGGGGTGCCACCCCTGCCCTGAAACCCCCCAGTTTGTTTGGCTCACCCCTGTGTGCACATCTACTGTTCCCAATAAAGGTTTTGGACAGCCTGTCCTCTCTTGGGAGGCACAGGAAGCAAGCAGTGAACAGTGTCCTGGAGGATGCCTGAAATTCCAGTGGCTGGGTTTTTTCCTGGCTAGGGAGCAGCAGTGGTGCTGGTGTTGCAGCAGGGTCTGGCTCTGCACTCCTGTAATGCTGGTGTGTGCATCCACTGTGCCAGGGAACGCTCACCAAGGGGTGCTGAGGCAAAGCAGATCCTGCCCTGGAGCTGGTCTGCAGCTCTGCTCTCCCTTCTATTCAGCTCACCCACAATTTTTCCTGCAGAAAACTGTTCCTTGCTCTTTTTCCTTCTTGAACTCCTCTCTGCTTGCTCATCCATCCAGTTCTATGCTCCAGTGTCTGGGCTGATACCACCTGGCAGGAATTAATCTTTCTGCCTGTTTTTGCTCCCCTTCCTTTATCTTGACCTTCTCTTGCCTTAGTATTTTACTGCAAAGGTTGGCAGCTCTCCAGGGGTGGCACTGCCAGATGGTATTTCTCCTCTGAGTAGAGGTGGGGTGCTCCAGACAACGGCTCATCAGCATCTTTTCTCTGCAGGAAGCAATAACTCTCACTCCTGTTAAGTTTAGAGGGCAGCAGAAGCTGGGAGTCTTCCCCACTGCATGTGCCTGGCTTGCTGCTGTTTTTGAAGTCTTCCCTGAGCTCTCTGGGACTCCAACTGCAGCATTTTGCCCTTGCCAGGATCAATCCTGGATGTCTCTGGCAAGGCAGGGATGTGGTGCTAATGGGAGAGTGGCAGCATGGGTCGTGTGTGTGGGGAAAACCTGATCCTTCAGGCTGGGAAATAAGGTCTCTGCTTAGCAAGAGCAGTGTGATTCAGGAGGCTAAAGTGTTTTATAGCCCTCTGGGATCTCCTTTAGAAGCCTGGGTTTCTGCATGGGAAGATAAGAGGGATTTCAGTTTCAGCTGAGCATTGGTCTCTCACAATTTAATGAGACCTTCTGCACAGGCATATAAAAAATATCTCTGCTTCAACACAGGACTGATGCAACTTTGGTGGGTTCCTACTGCACTCTGTTTTCTCTGCTCTGGGCTCCTCTAAAGGCAAATGTGGGCTGGAGCTGGAGCCAGGTGCCCTCAGTGATGAGGACTCAAGTGGAAATCTGGGTTTCTTGGCTCTGCAGGTTCCTGCTCTCCAAGGGACGTGGGGCTCTTTGTGCATTTGACAACTGGCACAGCTTTTGTGGTCTGAATCTCTTCTGCTCAGCCTGGACCTCTGTGCAGGGAGCCAGAAGGTGCTGGGGAGCATGAATCCACATCTTGTAAAATGGGACAATTACAATTATCATTTGGGGAAAGGCTTTCTGCATGGGGATGGTGCTGCCTCAGTTAAGCACAAAGGAAGGTTTTGGAGCTGCAACTCTGCTCTCTAAACATCTTTTTTTTTTTTTGTTTGCTTAATGGCAATTGTGAGGTGTCACATCCTCGTGGTGGAGTGGCATTTGGAAGCTTAGCTCCTGAAATTACAGTTTCTGGTGTTTACTCTCAGAATATCTAGATGCTGCCAGATCCAAGATGTTTGGGGGTGCTTTCCTTAAAAGCTACATGGAGCTCCAGCCAGGATACTCGGGTTTTTGGGGGATGCTGTTGCAGGCCCATGATTGGGTCCCTGATGAGGGATCTTGGGCTCACTGTTGGAAGAAGTGCAAGGAGCTGAGTGAGCTCTGCTGCCTTCAGGGGGGTCCTGCTGACTTGCCTCACTGAAGGCCTGGCTCATCATTAAATATAAACCCCTGCTGCTCAGCTCACTCTGTTTCTTGGGGACCATCTGTGCTGAACTGCCTGTGGTTAATTGCAGCCATGTATTCACCTACCTGGCTTGGATGCAAAACTGTTTTAAAAATCAAATTGCGCAGGCAAAAATGAAAATATGTCTAGATGAGCTTATCCTCCTCTCTGGTGGACTCTGGAGAGATGAGCTGGGTGACAAATTTCCTCCTGCCTTTGACTCCCTTGGTGAGCTTGGTTCTACTTGCCCTTCCTAGTCAGAGAAATCCTATAAAGGGATTATAGGATATGGGGACAGGACACAGCAGAGGATAAGGCTTGCTTGTCTGGGGGAATTTGTTATGTATTTTGTCTCTGTGCCTAGAATTTCTATGTCTCTAGCAAGCTGAGCACTGCAGCTTTCTCTGTAGGGCTCCTGGTTCAGAGCTGGCTTTCTGAGGACCACTGTGGGAGCCTCCCAACACCCTTCAAAAAGTGTCTCTGGAAAGAAGCCACATTGCTTTTCAACTTGGTTCCTGTGCTGGAACATCTGCTATGATATTGGCAGGGGTGGCTGCACATCCCCAGCGTGGCAGGGTTTGGCAGGTGGGGCTTTCTGAAGTGGCAGGACACGTGCTATGCTCCATCTTCTGCAAAATCCCTGCAGTTTCCAGCTGGATCCTGCTGGGTGGAGCACACCAGACTCTGGTCCTGTCACTGCAGGCTCAAGATTTGGTTCTCTTGTGTGCCTTCCACCCTGCCTGGACAGCAGAGAGTCGTGGAACCACAGAAGGGGTTGGGATGGAAGTGACCTCAAAGACCTTCTCATGCCACCCCTGCCATGGCAGGGACAGCTCCCACTGTCCCAGGCTGCTCCAAGCCCCATCCAGCCTGGCCTGGAGCACTTCCAGGGATCCAGGGACAGCCACAGCTTCTCTGGGCACCCTGTGCCAGGCCCTCACACCCTCCCAGGGAAGAATTCCTTCTTGCAGCCTGTCCTTCTGCTGGGAGTGAGCTGCTCACACGGTTCAGGGGTCAGGAGAGCTGCTGGCTGTGCAGGGTGCTCAGAGCTTTGATTAAAGCAGGAGCTGCTGTGCCTGTTGTGTGGTGTCAGGAGCAGCCAATAGCTCTGAAAATGGCAACTTAAATCACTTGCTCCAGAGGAGGAGGCCTTAACCAAGTGGCTCTTGAGTGTGGAGTGTTCCAAATTAATTAGGATGGCTCTCAGCTGGCAGAATTTGGAGTTTCATGTGCATTTGCAGCCTGCTGTGCACTATTTTGTACACCACAGAATAGCTTAGGTTGGAAAAAACCTCCAAGACCGAGTCCAGCTTTTGACCAAACACCTCTGTGTCAACCAGACCACATCCAGTCTTTTCTTTAACACCTTTAGCCATGCTGACTCCACTGCCTCCCTGGTCAGCCCCTTCCAATCTTTAATCACCCTTTCTATGAAGAAAATCCTCCTGAATACTTCAGAACTTGTAGCCATTTACGTAAATTTATAAAAGATGCTTCCCCCATTTTTCTTCTGAGCTGTGGCACAGTACAAGGAACCTTGTCTTTTTTTTTTTTTGGATGTGAAGGGTATTTTTCCCAGAATTTAAGGCTCTGAAGAGGATTGCTATTTGGACCTTGACTGTATGGATTAAGATCTGCCTCATTAAATCTCTACAACCCTGTTAAAATTTTAAGTTAGGATGCAGAGGTGTAAATAAAACAGGCACTTAACCCAGCATGGTTAACTAGCCTGATATTATAGTTCCTCACCAGCTCTTTGGATATCAACTAAATTGGCAAGGAACATAAGACTTAGAGCACATGCAGAATGAATTATTAAATGGTTTTGGTACACACTTTCTTCTTGCATCTTCTTTATTGCTGCCACTGAAATGGGAGCTGCTCTGTGTTGACCTCTATCTTCTTCACAGTGGGTGCTGGCTCATCCCTCCTTTTCCTTTGTAGCAGAAAATGGTGAAAAAAGTGTCAATTTTTTTCTATAAAACCCAACTATTTCTTTTTTTCCTCCTCTCTTCTGGAATTATTTGAAACAGATGTGCACAGTTTTTCTGTACAACCAAAGTCAGGGCCTCACTCCACTCACGGGCAAGAATTCCTTCCTAATCTCCAACCTAACCCTGCCCTGTGGCAGGTGGAAGCCATCCCTCCTGTCTTGTCATACACTGGTCCAAATTCCTTCTCCAGCTTTTTTGGGACCCGTTTTAGGCACTGGGAGGGTCTCTAAGGTCTCCCTGGAACCTTCCCTTCTGCAGGCTCTCTGTTCTTTGTGATGTTCTGCCTCCAAAAGGCTGGATGATATTTCTTAGTCTGACCCACCTTGGTTCCTGTTCTCACCAGGCTTTGTTTGAATTTTGAACTGTATTAGATTTAAAAAAAAAAAAAAATTCACCTAAATATCACTTCACTGTTGTAGCTTTCTCCAAGCTTGAACAAAAACAACAGATAAACTCCCATGGTTGCTATTATTGAAATGTAATTGGGCTGTGTGAGTGAAAGTTTTTAATGAGTTTGTGTTTGTTTTAATCTGAGGATTAAGCAGTTTGCCCTCCTGGCTCAGGGGGAGGAGGTGGGTTCAGATAAGCAGGGCTGTGGCAGAAAGGCTCTGCAAGGAACATTTTCTGCTGGCTGGGGTTCTTGTGCAGGTGGGAGAGTGTTGCTCATGGGGCTTTTTTGGGAGCTTTGGGACCAGGGGTGCTGCAGGAGGGAGAAGAAGCAGGAGCTCAGACTAGAAATGAGCTGAGTGGACTCAGTCATGTTCCCTTTGGCTCCTCTTAGCCCTCACAGGACTTGAGTTAAGAGACTGTAGCCCATAATAACAGACCTGCTCCCCACTATGCATCATCTGTGATGGTCCAGCTGGGTTTGTCTAGAAAATAAAGTTGAAATTAGGTGTTTTCTTAACTCTTGCCTGTTGGTTATTCTGTTTCCAGGCAGTGGGGTTGAATTGAATGCTTCTGGAAGAAAACACCAACAGCTTTTTCCAATGAAAATTGAATTAGTGTCTCTGCTGGTGGTTTTTTTTGTGGTTTTTTTTTTTTTTTTGGTTGTTGTTTGGGGATTTTTTTTTTTGTGGTTTGGAAAAAAGTCCTATGCCCACAGCCCTTTTCCTGGGAAAAGCATTTTAAGAGATGCTGTAA